CTGTGTGTCTGCCCTGTGATGGAATGGTGGCCTGTCCAGGGTGTTTTCTGCCATCCTCCCAGTGACCACTGGGATAGGTTCAAGCTCCCCACGCGACCCAGAAGGATAAGCGGCTTAGAAAATGTGTGTGTGTGTGTGTGTGTGTGTGTGTGTGTGTGTGTGTGTGTGGTGTGTGTGTGTGTGTGTGTGTTGAAAGCCGCTGTCTGTTCTGCTCCCCTGATCTGTTGGTAATGTTTAGCTACATTACACAGATTCTCTTATTTATCACCCACTATCTCTAATATAGCAGGACATCTGTGTTTTACTCTTTTTATTCTTCTCTCTGTGCTTTCAGGTATGCTTTCCTGCAATGTTTCACAACACTGTGTTAAACACAGTGATTCATATAACTGTAATGAACAGGGCTGTAAAAAAAGGTTATTCAGCTGCACAGATTCTGAAATATTAGAAACAATGACAAATAATATTTATAATATTCTGTATACTGTGCATGTATTATTGCCCAATGCATGTATTATTGCCATGATTGACAGTTCTGTGTATAGATATGAGCCCCCCAGTTAAACTAAATCAAAGTAATACAGACTGACATGGAGAATCTGAACACAAAACACCGTCACTGTTAAAGTAACAAATCCATGTACAATGTATTCAGTCAGTAAAGCACCATTTAACTACTGGATAATTAAATTATAAGCTTAGGTATAAATACTAAATTATATCAGCTGAGATTAATTTTCAGCCGAGATTAATCTTTTGTCATTTAAAATTGGTGTCAGTATAGGCCAAAAAAAATTCTTCTTACAGGGGCTCTTTTATGCCCCCCAAATTAGATTCTTCTGATATAATTGCAAAAATCTCTCTTTTAGAAAAAGTTTTGTTCTAATCTTCTGTATTTCTTGACTCCATAAACAGTTACAGGATAACTAAATTGTTTCCTAATTGTTGTTCACCCCAGCGTATCACTCCTCCTCTCTCTGTTCTCGGGTTCTCTCTCTTTCAGTCTGCTGCAGCATCTGAACGTTCTGCCTGTGCTGGACGACTCTGCTGAAGCCAGAGCTGCGAATAAGCGCCAAGCTCTGGTTGTGATGGCTGACGGCTCTATGTGGGTGTACCGCCTGGTGGAGTTCGCAGACACACTGCTCAAACAGGACACACACGTACGGAGCACTCAGACGTTCACGGAGGAGCACACGCAGGCCTGGGACAGGTGAGGACCACGGAGGTGTTGTAGAAAGTCATTGGCATTAGAGCTGTTTATGTGTTGGAAGCTTCAGAAAGTTTTGCCCCAAAGTTCGGACTCTGGATCTTTGCTTCATGATGATTTTCTTAGTGAGGCAGTGTTTGTGCTAATAATGTTAGTGCTAGCCAACCTAATGAATTCATTTTGTTCTAGCACTTTACACTTTACAAAGTGATAATCTAAGCACTGGCAGAGCATACCACTAGTTTGTATTCTGCTGCTTTTATTTGTGATGTAATAGTGCCCAGTGGCTTTATCTTCAGCTGGAAGAGTGTTTGTGTAAGTGTAAAGACTATTGCACACCTGACATGATGCAAATAAATGACTTGAAAATGTAAAATGGACATATGGTGACATGGATGTGGAGAGGTGAGAGGCAGAGCTTCATTAGATGCTTGAGCGTCTGATTGGTTGAGCGCAGAAGCTGAGGGACTCCTTGAGCTGCTGAGCTCATGGGTATTTTGGTCTGTGTATCTCACTGGTTAAAAGGGGTGTGATGAAGGAAGCAGACTCATGCCTGGAGCCGTGGTAAAACACACTACCTCTGAGACTCATGCCTGGAGCCCCCCCCCACCCACACACACACACTACCTCTGAGAATAAGCACAAGTGTTACTGTCAGACTTCTGAAGCATATGTGTGTGTTTGTGGTGACTGCAGGAGAAGAGCGTGGGTAAGGCGGATGTGGAGAGTGACGTATCAGAGACGCTCTGACTTCCTTTACCAACCCCCACAGAAAAACCCACTGTTTATCAGTGTCATCAACAGATTCCCCATGAGAACATTCACCATCACACCTCCCCCTAATAATAAAACTTCATCATCAGCCCTTATATGAATGTTCTTTGAGTCACATCATATATATATATATATATATATATATATATATATATATATATATATATATATATATATATATATATATATATATATATATATATATCTTGTATCATTATCTGAATTATTATGATCATGTTTTGTTCATATGTCAGGGACCCGAAACGACAGGAAAGTAAAGTCTTTTTCTCTTTCTCTTCCAGTGTCTGCAGCATGTAGAGTACAAGAACAAAGCTGTGCATGAGAGAACAGTGAAGGCTCTGGAGCTCTGCCAGTACCTGGTCAAAACCAGTGGCGGACAGTAACTAAGTAAATGTAATCTGTTGCTGTACTTAAGTAGTTTTTCGTGTATCTGTACTTTACTGAAGTTTTTCCATTTTGGGCGACTTTTTACTTTCACTCCACTACATTTCAAAGTCAAATATCTCACTTTTTACTCCACTACATTATGAGAAATCTGTCCTTCTTTTGGTTTATGTGTGTATAAAAACGTAACATGTCAAAACGAAAGAAGCGCAAAGCAAAAACACCAATCAGGGAACAGCGCACTTTGTTTTGAGCTTGTTTTGACCTGTTGGACATACCGACCCAGTGCAAGCACACACAATGTCAGTTCCTACATAAATGATCGAAAAAACTCTTGACTCTAACCTAACTTTGTGTAAATAGACCACAATATAGAAATATGTACTCATATGCAGTTGTGACTGAAGTGTCTTTTTTCTGAATTTATACAAACACATTTCATTTTATAGTAAATTTGTTTTGGCTAGTTTATGTTTATGAACAGAGACCTACAGATGCAGTTTAGTAAAGGAAAACTCATTTGTAAACCTGTGATTAAAGTTGTTATTAAACTTAAACTGGTAACTAAGTTGCATTAAGTTAATTAATCTTTTAGTACTTTTACTTTAGATACTTAAGTACATTTGAAGGCAAATACTTTGGGACTTTTCCTCAAGTGGAGGTCTAAAGGGAGGAACTTCTACTTTTACTGGAGTAATATTTTACCTTGGGTATCTCTACTTTAACTCAAGTACATGATTTGTGTACTTCGTCCACCACTGGTCAAAACCGTTCACACACAGGTACAGAAACCCCTTTTTCCCCTCACGGCAAAACTCCTTGTCCAAATGACCACAGTCCACTTTGTTTTACTCAAGCGTAACTGACTTGTAGCCCCAAATGCTGAACTGTGTAGATTTTTAAATCAGGTTTTTCGAGGTGATAGAGCTGAAAATGTCTTGTTCTAAGCAGAAGGTGGAGGTGAATCTGGATCCTCTCCGGGATGTTCTGAGGTCCGTGACCGCTGATGGGAGCCTGCAGAAGGCTGGACAGCTAGAGGACACATACTGGAGCGTCATGAGACTCTTCGGCATTCAGTGAGTTCCATACACAAAACTTCAAGTATTCACTTTTTTTATTATCAGTCTGTGCCCAGATATTAGTAATAGAGGTGGTATTGAATCTGTAGTTCATACACTCATCCCACATCCGAGTGTAGCTCGGGTTTGACTTCTTTTTTTCACACTGTATTTATTTAGCAGTCACTCTGATATACATCAGTCAGACTACGTTTCTCCTGTCAGTCATAACACTGAGCTGAGCTACATGAAAATGGACAGTATTGATTAATTTGAACAGGAGGAGTCTAGACTTCAGGACAGGAATAGCAGAAATATGGACTGCAGCATCTGACCACTTGAAACATGCACATGGAAGAATAAGGCTGGGATACTGTCAGCAATCCCTCTTCTGGCCACCAGAGGTCATTCTCCCCTGAGTACTAACTCTTTCATAATGACAACCTATTACTCCACCTGATCCTCATTCCCATTAAGGCAGCCCTGCTACTCGAGCCTCTCAGCTGCACTTTATTGTGTGTTGAACTATTTTTGCCTGCCTTTTGCCTTTGCCCTCTGGATACTGGTGCCTTGGTTTGTTGGACTGCCTTTTGTTTTTTGAACTCTCTGTCTACGACTTTGTCCATTGGATCACCCTGTATTAATAAACTGTTTAGACTTGCACATGCATCCCTCTCAAGTTCCTGAGACTCAGTTGTTACAGGTACAGTCATTACCCCTTTAAGTAAGGCTTATTATGTAGTCTTTAATCTTAAAACTAATTCAGTAACTACAGTGAATTATTAGGTAACTGCTATTGCTTTTGGTTACACCTGATATTTATTTAAAAGAACGATTACACAGTTTTCATGGTGTAAAGATGCAAGAAGACTAGATTTCAGTGTTTAGGGGTGTCTAAAAGGGGACGTCAGAAAGACATCTTAAAAACTGTCACTCTGCACCCTCTGAAGATGACATTTAGGCAATCAGGTAAGATGTAATAAAGATGTTATCTTAACATGTTTCTGCTCGCTGGGATCCAGGCAGGACCCTGGTGAGTCAGGTCCAACATTACCCACAGGTGGACCCCTCTGACTGTACTCAAGCTCTTTATTAAAATATCTGTACTTTATTTTAAAGTTTTTCCATTTGTTGATGCTTTTACTTTCACTTTACTTACATTTGAAAGTAAGTACTTTCCCACGTGGTAAATAGGTTTTTCCCAGAAAAAAAGAAAAAGAAAAACAGGAACAAAAAAGAATACCACTGGGATTGAAATAAAACTGAAAACCTTTAACACAGCAACGGATTTACAGTGTTTCTCATTTTGCTGCTGGTGCCAATTCACAAATGTAGAAATGTAACTACACAGATCTGCGCGTACAAACGTGATGTATGGAGGTATTTTTCTGGCAAATTTCACTTATGTATATCAAATTTAGCTATTATTATGATGCGACCAAAGGCTTCCCCTAAGAACTGTGAAGCTCCATCTGCCGCCCACACAGCGCCACTAGACAGCCCAACACGCTCGGAGGAAAGCACCAACGGTGTGTGTACTTCGGAAGATTCGTCAGACAGCGCGTCAGTGGAATATCAGACCGCGGGCTCAAAGCATTGTGTGGAATCATTTATTCCGTTAAGTAATAAAAACAGACAAACCGTTTATATCTGTGTTACAGGTGTGTTGTCTTCACACGCAGCAGCAGCAGCTTCTCCTCGAGGAGGATCATCCAGACTGAACAGTGAGTAGATCTGTGTTGTAGTTTGTGGAGAAGCCGAGTGTCTCTCTCTGCTGTAGGTTGTTCAGCTGTGAGAGTCGCTTCCTGAAACAGATCAAACGCTCCCGCTGTTTCAGGTTCACTTTAATATCTGAGAGTTGTTGGTGTTAAAGATTCTAAATGTCTCTGAGTTTAAACTCTAGAGCAGACAGTCTGATCTGATCTGTCTGATTGATGGAGGTGTTCTGGCTCTTTGGGGTCTCAGACTCGCTGGAAAAGGCGGTTCGTTCACGTCCTGTTTACACAATCTAAAGCAGTTCATCTACACAAAGCAGCTCAGCGCTGCTAGAGCTCGAGCTGTGGTGGAGGTCAGTGTATGCTGTATGTTTTTCTTCTTAATAATTCTGTTTGTACTTGTTTGCAACCCGTTACAGTACTGAAGTGATTTTTCCCTGGACTTCCCAGCTGTAGAGTGAGTTAGATGTGATATCTAAAGTAAATTTGTACACTTGGACAGAAGTCATTAGTAATTTGTTTTACATATGTACATACCCTGATAGCAAGAGAATAGTGGACCACTGTCAGCCCGCTGATGGTTGCTTTCTTTAGTTATACTTGGCTATTAATTTAGTAAATAATTTTAATCCAGCTTAGCATCAGCAACATTTTATAAAATCATTTTACACCACACCGCATATTTTAAGCCCTGCAAACTTTGTGACATGGTTTTCCACTCCAAATGCAGAATGGCCCAGCTACTCTATCAAAATTAGCGACAGATGACGAGGACACAAAGTTAAAGGACAGCCTGCCCAGATAGCGTGCAGATGTGGGTCACTTCTGGCAGAAATATGGCAGAGCTGCTACCACTGACCTTAGCAAACACTATGAGCCAGAAGTGGCCCACATATTAAAAATGATCATATGGCTCACATCTCAAAACAGATCTGGGCCATTTCTGGGAAACATTGCCAGAGCTGACATGAGCTACATGACAATGTTTTAAACAGGGATTAACAGCACTGTAGGGAGCATTTACATTCAGATCTTGGCTGTATCTGTCACAGTACACTAAAAATCCAACCTAAAATGCTTCAGCTTTTGTGAGGGTTTATTCGTTACTTTGCCAAAGAGAAACACCAGGTTAAAATGCTCATTTTAGTTAATTCAACACAATCTGTCTCAGCACTAGGAACACTGCTATATATCCTAATCTGCAGTTTAATTCAGATTTAGTTTAAAATGGTTTGTGGCTGCTTAACATTTTGTGTTCATTAAACAACAAACCTGATCTGAGGTTCACTGAACTTAAACCTTTCTGTCAAACACGTCACTAATTTTAAATTAAAGAAATCTTTTTCACAGTGCAGTAAACATTTTGAATGTAGGTTTGTGAACAACAGTGTCTGAGTCGTGCAGTGGGCTGAGCATTTGTTCCTTCATCAGGAAATAATGAGATTAAATCCCATCAACACCACAGCAGTCTGTAGTTGGTAATCCAAGAGTGGGAAACACCACCTCTCCCTGAGCCTCATGGCACCGTGCAACAGGGCAGTTGTTGTTGTGATGACCTGGTTTTGTACTGGTGGTTTGAGTGGTGGGTCAGTTCTGGCAGTGCTGGTTTAAAGGTGGCTGAGATGTGGACCTGTAATGGCAGTAAACAGGCCGGGTTCTGACAACCGCATCTGGCCCACTCCTGTCCCATCACTCCATGTGGTATGTGGGCTGCATCTAAATGCTGGATGTAGTCCAGGTTTGGGCCTTATCAAATCTGCTATCTGAGTGAATTTCTAAATTTCACTACCAGAGAAATGAAGCAGCTCTGAGCTTCGAGGAAAACTGAGGCTGTGTCTGAAACATCATGAGCACTGCCTTCTGAGGCATGAAGCACCCAGTCATGTCTAAATGTAATGTACGCTGCCTGCTGAGGTTCCTCTATTAGCTATATATATATATATATATATATATATATATATCTCACACCAAATGACTATTGCTATATATACAAGCTATAACAGCATATGAGCTAATCATAAGACTGATCTCATAAAAATCCTCCACACAGACCAGCAGTGTGGTAGTTTAGAGGCGTTTGTCAGTTTTAGGCTGCAGTTTGAGTAGGTGGAGTTAAATGACAGTGTTTGACAGTAACCTTTACCATATAAGTACCTTTTTATCCAAATAACACTGCTATGGTCATTCTAGTTTCCCCTAGCAGCCTAATACACACTGCCATGTCAGTATGAGAATGATCCACCATTCACGTAATATCTACACTTTAAAAAAATTCTCTGTGACAGTAAATGACTGGACACTACTGCATTACTGTTGCAGTAACATACTGAACCATATTAACTGTTAAAAATAGCAGCTGAATGCTGTTACTCAACACACACCATTACTGTGGCTGTTATTCTGCTGTTCACTTACAGTAATGAGCTGTAATTAAAATACATTTAAACATTAATATAAATACATTTAGTCATTAATGTTTTTCTTTTAAAATAACATTTTAATACATCATACTAATTGGCAGAACCAATCAAAATCCCCATTTGAGCAGGGGGGTGCAACACTTACCCAATGGTAAAGCTTTGCTGAGTTGCATTTTAAAATACCATTTTATTTTTCTTTTCTTCTGAAAACCTGAAAATCAGGAAATGAAAAATATCAGATGGGCAAATCTGGTTTACAGTAGGTTTGCAAAATTTGCAGGTATGTTAAACTACATGAAACATGTAAAAACACATGGTTGTACTGATGGTGTGTGTGTGTAGGTCAGTTCTGTTCTCTCGTTCTCTCTTCTCTCTCTCTCCTCTCCTGGTCAGTACTGATGGTGTGTGTGTCTGTAGGTCAGTTCTGTTCTCTCGTTCTCTCTTCTCTCTCTCCTCTCCTGGTCAGTACTGATGGTGTGTGTGTGTAGGTCAGTTCTGTTCTCTCGTTCTCTCTTCTCTCTCTCCTCTCCTGGTCAGTACTGATGGTGTGTGTGTGTGTGTCTGTAGTTCAGTTCTGTTCCCTTTTTCTCTCTTCTCTCTCTCCTCTCCTGGTCAGTACTGATGGTGTGTGTGTGTGTCTGTAGGTCAGTCATGCAGTCCTGCAGTTCTGCTCTCTGTATCCTGATCTTACTGATCATTACATTCACTACTGGTAAGAACTGCACTGTCAATCTTTTGTCATCTTATTAAAAGTGTATCTTAATATTTAATTTGTGAGGCAGATATTCTATATTTAAGAACTGAACTAGACAGTGAAGCTTCTGAAATGTGATCTGAGTACAAACAGTTCACACCAACTAATTCAAAGTGTTTAAAGATTAAGGAGAAGTTTTAACATTTCAGCTATTCTGCTTCATTTTAGCCGATGGTGCTTCTAAGTTCCTGTTTTTTTAATATTCTGTTTCCTTTCACATCTTTGCCTTATTCTATTTTTCAGTGTCTGTATCAGCTGATCCTCCAGTGAAGGTGAATCTTCATGACTCTGCTACTCTGCCCTGCTCTGAGAGATGCTCTGGTTTGGTCAGATGGACTGTGTTCACTAAACCCACTGACACTCTGGCTGAGTGTGATCAGACTTCATGTAGATCAGTGAAGGAGGGATATCAGATGATCCATGATCAGTACCTGAAGGGGAATCTCTCTCTCACCATCACTGAAGCTGATTTCACTAAGAGAGGCTGGTACACGAGTGACTGTGATGATAAAGATCTCTGTGATGTGCGTCTTCAGATTGAGCGTAAGTGTCTGTCTGTTTTCCTCACTGATCATTACTGACAGAACTCCAGTGATTTGGATTGTGTGCTTTGTATTAGATTTGGAGTCAGCTGATCAAGTTCCCCTTTGTTTTTCTCCTCAGCCCTGAGTACTGCAGTTCAGATAAAGTCTGGTGATTCTCTGGTGCTGAAGCTGGACATATCAGATCCAGTGGAGGTGATTTATAACAGTACAGGTACAGTTGGACCATCCAGTGGTCAGATCTGTACAGTGGATAGACATTCAACGTGGTGTAAAGATGAATACACACAGAGAGCGTCTCTAACATCTGTTTTTGAGCTGAGAAATGTGACTCCATCTGACAGTGGAGTTTATACTGTAATGGACAAAAGGAATGAAGAGGTCATTCACATCTACACAGTGACTGTGGGGTCAGCAGGGGGAAGAGGTATGTTGTTACATGATCTCTGTTTATCCAGTCAGAATCCACTGAGCAGGAATCTGCTGAGCTTTAATGTTATTTAAAACTTATTGTATTACAAACCTGTGTGTGTGTGTGTTTTGTAGGTGACCATCCAGATCTGGACACAGATATAGGAGCTGCTGTACCAGTGTCTGTGACTGTACTGACACTGAGTGTGTTGGGTGTGACGCTGATTGTATTTGTAGCTGTGATTGTGATGTCAGTCGTGGCAAACAAGCGGCAGAGGAGAGAAAAGCGGCCGTCCCAGGATGAAGGGTGATAGGTAAAAGTTCAAAGTGATTGGCTCTCTGGAGTTTGGTCCGCGGCTCCAGCAGCACGAGCCTCCGGGTGTCTGAGCCCAATCCCTGAACATCGCGAGCCTCCAGCAGCATAAATACTCCGGGCAACCAGCAGTGCAGACACTTCTCGTGTGGAGGAGCTGCGGTTTGTCTTCAGTGCCTGCAGAACAGGAGCTCTTCTGGATCTCCGGTCTTCACCTCCAGCAGCGGCTCTCCGGAGTTTGGTCCGCGGTTTGGTCCGGAGTTTCCACCTGCAGGCTGTGTTGAGTCTCCACCGTCTGCTCAGCCATGCAGCTCTTCAGCTTCTGGGTCCTAACAGTCCTGACTGCAGTCCTATCAGGTGAGAGTCCTCACTGCTCACACTGCACACTTTCATTAAACAGCCTCACTGACTTACTGAGACTGGACTCAGCTTCACTGGAGCTGCTTCCACATCATCATCTTTAGAGAGTAAATATATGGAACATAGACTGAGATTAAAGGCTATTAAGCTAGAAACACTTCCACTGTATCTACACTCACTGACCGTGATGCACAGTTTGTCTAGAACTATAAACACTTGTTCTTCTTCAGCAGGTCAGCAGACACTGGCTAACTTCATCAAAACCACATGGAAGGATCTGAATGACCCGGCCACTCTGTTCTGTCCAGAGCCCTGTTCAGGGGTGGAGACCTGGGAGAGGAGTGGACTGAAAGTGGCCAAATGTGGAGTTAAAGAAGTCCGAGTTCAGCTGTGAGAGACACCTGGACCAGAGTAGCCTCACCGTTCCTCAGGTTAATTACACCACCAGAGGATTTTATCTCACCAAATGTAGCGGAGAAGTGATCTGCTTCCAGAACCTCCAGCCCAACCGTGAGTGTTTCAGACCATTAAACTCTTGTATGACAGTGTATGATACAGTAGTGTTATGGTAGTTTGGTGCTGGTACGACTGGAATTACAAAGATCTCTTCTTGTCTCTCCTGCAGCTCACAGCTCTTCTGTTGAAGTACCAGCTGGAGATCCCCTCATCTTGGACCTGTTCCATCCAGTGAGGATCTGTAACCCCTGTCCAGATGTGCACTGTGGATGGACGTTCCGTGCTCTGTAATGCGGGGTATGAAGACAGAGTGTCAGTGTGTGGTAACTCCATGGTGCTGAGAGACGTGGTGTCTGCTGACTCTGGAGTCTACACGGTGCGAGCGGTCAAGGATGGAGCGGCTCTCATACGGACAGTGTCGGTCACTGTTAAACGTAAGTGCTTTTCTGGTGTTCTTGCTGTTTGGGGTCTTTGTGCTGAGTTGACTCTCTGATTAGCCTCTTCACATATACAGCAATCAGAGATATTCTTGTTGTTTTTGTTTTGCACATTTAAATAGAAAAGAAAAGAAGTGGTGTTCAGTATTTTGACCATAATTTGGCCAGACTGCACTATAAATGGTCTTATGTGCCTTAAAGATAAACCTAAACTGTAAAATATTTGCATATACACTTATACAATTACATATACTACATAAGCCTTTAAATAGCTCTTCTTCAGTGATCTTCATCAAATCCAAAACTCTGTCCACTTCAGATTCATCAAAATGAAATGTAAACAGTTAGAACAGGTCCTGGTCCTGTAGATCCACCACCCTGGATCTGGACATCCAGATGGCCTTGAAAGCCTTTATTACCTGGATCAGGTGTGTTAGTTTAGGGGTAGAGTTGAACATCTGAGTGCAGTTTCCACTGGAATGAAAGAACTGATCTGGATACATTAGTAGGTTTTGGTTGAGGAGAAACAACTCTAATCTGGAATTATCTTCTCTAGGGTGAACACGTCCTCCAGTCTAACTGAAAGCTTTCTTTATACTGAATGTTTTTCCAAATTTGTTATGTTAAAACAGTGATCCACAGGAAATGAAACTCAGGCTATTAGAAGTTGTGAGATCTTGTGAGTGGCATTTTATTGTTTCTCTCTGAAATTCCTGGCCCACTAAAACTTTGGAGCCTTGGGCCTCATTCACCAACATCTTCCTAAGACTGTTCTTAAATGTGTTCTAGAGAAAGATCCTAAGAAAAAGTCTACGTGAGATTCATGACGTGTTCTTAAAGCGCAGAACTGTTCTCGCCTTTGTGCTCTTGAGTGTGTGTAGATTCTGTTCTTACCTAAGAACAAATCCCAGATAAGGAAACACTGGTGAATGTCGGAATCTTCATCAAAGAACGGTTGGTTAATGAAGCCCCATGACAATAATCATGTTTTCATGAACAGAGTAAACATTAAACCGTACCACAGCTTTCACTGATCACACCCATCATTGCTCTGATTAGCTTATCATACAGTTATGCTGAGTGGACAGATGGTCTTCATCTCTCATCACTCTGACCTTTCATGACCTGAAGACTTTCCTAAAGAGCACTAATCACATTCAACTCCTCTGTTTTGTCTGTTGTCTTCAGATGCTCAGCAGAGCTGGATGTGGAAGGATGAATATCAGAAGGGATTGAAAATCGGAGCACTGGGATTTGGGATTGGAGCGCTGGTTCTTGGTGTGATTCTGGGGTTCTATGCTGTGCCGAGGGGGCTTTATCTGATGGACAGATGTTTCCAGAGGCTCAGAAGACGAGACTCCTCACGCGTGAATCAAACTGAGGATGTGGAAAAGAGTGTTCCCCTGACATGAGGGAATACCAGCCAGTGGAATGACTGGGATTTATTGGATCTCGGTACAAACAGAATGAATGACCCACATAATAGGGAAATGACTTTAAATCAATTATGACACTGAAATTTACTTGTTTACTTATTTTTATGTCCCAAACGAGCTGATGCTCTGAAGGCTACTCCACCCATCTGAAGCTGGTTTCTTATTCCCTGACTTCATGTTCAAATTTTCCTGTTCCACCTTAAATGGTGATCACTAGTGAAAGTAGAAACATGGCTTAGGTCCTAATTTGCTGGTCCAGCCAGTGTCTTTACCATCCAGCATTACAGCTCTTTAACTGGACCCCAGTTTCCAGAATGCACTGGTGCTGCTGTTCCTGCAGGGTTTTATTCTGTCTTTGTGAAAGTGCTGAGTGTGAAGTGTTTTTAAAGGTATGAGAGCTTTTTATGGCTTTTATTTATCTGCTATTTATTACTGTTATACTCCTCTGTATGAAATAAAGTGTGTATTATCCCATGATTCCCTGGTGTTTCTATAAGCTAAGACAGTGGAACTTATAACTGAAGAGCATTTATTTATTCATTCATTCATTCATTCATTCATTTATTTAATGATATATAAATAAATTAATAAATACATAACTGTTAAAACTGGAGGTTTATTTATTTACTTTTGACACATAAGCTACAATACTACAGGTTATAATAGGTGTATTTTATTTGTTTATAAACTCCAGTCTTACCGTTTATATATTACTAAACAAACAAACAAACCAATAAACCAAATAAATAAATAGACAAACAAAACTAAACACCAGTCATAACCTCCATTGTTATAGACAGATAGATAGGTAGATAGATAGATAGATAGATAGATAGATAGATAGATAGATAGATAGATAGATAGACAGGCAGATAGACGGACGGACAGACAGATAGAGACAGACAGACAGACAGATATATATATATATATATATATATATATATATATATATATATATATATGTATGTATATAGATGGATAGATAGATAGATAGATAGATCAAGTCAGTAGTGAGTCACTCATAACCTGCTGACTGTGTTGCACTCAGGTGATTCCCCATCTTAATATGTGGAAGATGGATCTTCATTTGTTGTGTAAGTTTCTGATAAGTGTGTAAAAAAGTCCAAACTCTGTTCATTTTAACTGACCAGTGTTTGTTGTTTGATGAAGACCCTCATTAGTCCAGCCGTTTCCCTCTTCTTTCTTTTTCTGTCTGTTGTGTTTTCTTGTGTTTCACTGTTCAACATGGTGGAGTTTCAGCGCTCCGCACTCCAGCTCGGTAGGTGGCGGTACAGCACCTTACGGTCCTGCAGAGCGTCATTCAGACAGAAGAAGAAGATGTTTCAGTTTCCCGCCCAAACCGTGAGGGAGAGGAGCTGAGATGGTGGTCAGTGAGTAAAGGTCAGCATTAGAGGTCATTAAATGGGTTTATGCTGAATTAAGCTCTAATTAAACATTATTAGAGGAGCTCCGAGGAGTAAAGGTCAGAATTAGAGGTCATTAAACGGGATTATGCTGAATTAAACTCTAATTAAACATTATTAGAGGAGCTCCGAGGAGTAAAGGTCAGAATTAGAGGTCAGTAAACGGGTTTACGCTGAATTAAACTCTAATTAAACATTATTAGAGGGGTTTGATCCAAAGTGCGTTAGAGGCGTTTTTAGAGTCTTCATTTTTCAGTTTTCCTTATGTTGCTGGGACTTAAGTGAGACTCACACACATGGAGAAACTCCAGCACTGTGTTATTATTAATATCTCATTTATTAGAGAAATATCAATGTGTTTATATTGAGTTTATTAAATGGATTAATGCGGAAACTCCAGTACTTTATTATTATTAATAACTCCTTTATTAGAGAAATTGTGTTTTTATTGAACATCAACTGTTATTTTTAAAACTTATATCCACAGAATTGATACACATGGATATACAAACTAGTATAAAGTCAAATAAGTGTTAATTGTAATTGTGCATGTGATATTTTATGGGTTATACTGTTTATTTCTATTCAGCCTCTTTAATAAGTGGCTAACTAGTAATGTCTAGTGTCTGAGTGCTGTTCGGTAACGTTTGCTAACACTATGTATCTAATATGATCTGTATTAATGACATCTGGAGCTTTATTATTTGAGTGAATAAAGAGAAATGAAATAATCAGACCATTTAGCATTTATGTTTTTACATCCTAAAGTCATAAAACTCTTATTACTGTTCCATCAGGAAATGCTCAGCAGGTATAAAAGGATATTTAGTGCTTAACATTAATAAAAATTACTTGGACACCAAATATGCAGGCAGTGGAGTCGAGTATTTGAACCTTGAACTGTTATTCTGTTCTACCTTCATTTTAAAAGCACAGATATGTATTTAAAAAGTTCAGACCCGTCCAGCTATAAAACCAGCTCAGACCAGCAGGCATTTCCTTTCTGGTGCTGGTCATCCAGTATGGTCATGCTGGTTGACCAGCATACCAGCTTCCAAAATGCAGTGTTGTTCTGGTGACCAGCTAAGCTGGTCTAAGCTGTTTTTTCTAGCAGGTATAACCTTCATTCCTATCAGCTCTACAGCTCCAGTGAGCATTTTCCTTCATATATGATCTTTAACAGCACATTTAACGTTTAACTCCATTTTTCAGGATCCAGACAGCTTTTCCAGCTTGATGATTGATGGTCTTGGATGTCCATTACTGTCCATAATGGAGGATCCAGTTCACTTTTTCAAATGTAAAGAGGATTCCAGCTACAGACCCAGGTCTCAGCACAGAAATGTAGCAGAAGTAGCAGCTCGAGACTGTTTCACCATCGTATTTGGAGCACCAGCAGTGACCGTCAGCCAGGACAGATGGACACGCACAGTTCAGACAGGCTTATTCAGCCTGAGGCTTGTTGGAGTAGCTGTGGACGAGGTTCATGCAGCTGTTCAAAGGTGAGTACATGTACTTACGTGTTTCCAATGTTGTTGTTTTTGGCTGCAGACTGGTGTCCTTTTCTCATGCTTTCTGGTGGGTGTGAACACCATTTAACACAAATACAAATCCAGAAGTTTGTCTTTTCTCGAACAGAGGCCACGTTTATCTGCTAATAACTCATCGTCAACTTTTAATGCTAGACCAGTGATCTTGTGAACGTTTAGTCTAGTTTACCAAAATAGATTCAATTTTTTCAGATAAACATAGTATAAAAGTTCAGTAAGTTGATTATTTATAGGTGACAGCTATACATAGTCTGAGCTTTGTTGCCAAATAATATATTTGTAATATATTTTCATATATTAATCAGAAACTAACAACCGTCTTCATATTATTTAATTAATAGTTTACTCTCAAACCACAGACATTCATCATTCATTATCCAGTTTGTATGTATAAGTGCAAACTTCAGCTTAGGGCTCATTAGATCATGACACTTGGGTTGTAACCATTGACAGTATATACAGACTGGACACAGTGATTCTGCTGTTTTCAGTGGGGACCAGGTGAGGTCAGTTGTGTCACTTCCTGATCACCTTCTCGTGCTGAGGATGGTGGGAACACGTCTGCACAGACACCTTAATGGCACTAATCTCCAGCGTGCAGCTCAAATAACTGCACTGTTTATAGAAGCTGCCCAACAAAAAATCATGAATGTGTAGAAGAAACATAAATCATCACAACCCAACACAAAGCTAGTCCACCCTGGTGATGTGTGTAGAGGAGGAAGAACCGAGAGTCACTTAAGAGTTAATGGCTGAGAGATTAAGGTGTAGCCGAGGTTTAGAAAACTTATATATCTCATTTCTGTGGCCTACACCTAGTTAATAAAGCACCAATAAAAAAACTGTGACTCATAATAGCGGTGAACTTCTTCTTCTTCTTCTTCTTCTTATTATTATTATTATTATTATTATTGTTGTTGTTGTTGTTGTTGTAGCATGCTCAGCATGTGTATTTGCATATTAGTTCCGGGTTATTATTATTGTGCACAGATTATTATTATACACTGAACTCACTCTGTTTTGTAAATAATACTATGCTGTGTCTTTTGAGTGACAGTTTTCTATACTGTCACAGAAAAGCATTTACTTTGAGGCTACAAAGTGACTGACAGGTCAATGGATGAAATGACAGACAGTCCAGTCTCTGTAGAAGAGGACAGGGCCGTACGATGATCTGTAAAGTGATTAATGGGTCTGTTGATCAGACAGTCCAGTCTCTGTAGAAGAGGACAGGGCCATACGGTGATCTGTAAAGTGATTAATGGGTCTGTGGATCAGACAGTCCAGTCTCTGTAGAAGAGGACAGGGCCATACGGTGATCTATAAAGTGAATAACAGGTCTGTGGATCAGACAGTCCAGTCTCTGTAGAAGAGGACGGGGCCGTACGGTGATCTATAAAGTGATGGTCAGGTCTGTGGTTGACTGCGCTGTTGACTGGGCATGTAAAGATCCAGGGGTCAGCACAGCTCATTGTATCATTGTTTTGGGATGTCATCCCTCAGAATTTTTTTTATCTGTACGTTTTATGTATTTTAAAAGCTGAGTAGTCATTTAGTGCAACTCCTCTTACCTAAAGCCAAACAAGAAACGTTATTTTTTAATATAAAAGATTGAGCTAAAATAAAGGATTCCATCAGGCCAAAGTGGTGTCATGATAATGTTGGAGGTCTGCTGAGTGACCAGAGCCCCGGAACCCAGACCAGCCAACGCCACTACAGTATGAGCAGTGCTCGCTGATTGATCGTGAAAGTGGATGGCGCTCTCTGATAAAACTGGCCTTTCAGTTTGTGTAGAAATATTCACACATTTATGAATTACAGTTTTACTATTTTTTATTAATACTATATATATAATTTTTATTAATCTTTAAGTTAGAAGTAACTTAAAAATGGCCAGTATGTGTTTACGTATATGTGGGACAGAGAGACAGCAAGAGAATGAACATCTGAAGCCCACCTCACTGATCTAAATACACTCGTCCCTTAACAGACATGGAGGTCTCTGGTCAATTTCTTTGTAACTGTCAGCATGGATTCTTCATTGCTGCATCCAAAAATGAAGAACAAGTAAGCGAATTTAGTAATAAACTCACCAGACAAAACAAATGAGATGAGATCAGATGAGAATAATCCAAAAAACAGATAGTATGAAAACTGAATATACAAATCAACAACAAGAAAAAGAAAAGCCATATGCAATAGAATATAAGAAGGAGCATATCACTGTGAATAACAGTGTACTGTGTTCTTCACAACAGCACACAATCTTGAAAGCTTTTGCTTTCACGCAGCAGTTTTGCAAAGTAAAGAAAAAAGCAAAGCGTTTGAGCTATAGTTCTAAATAAAAAAAAAAAAAATCTTAAAATTCATAATATTGGCCACATTTAGTGCTAAAAGATGTAGTAAAATATAGAATGAAATATGTACTAAAAATACTAAGAGCAATACTATAAACAATACTATAAGTGAAGCACCTGGGACAGGCTGTAAGTCCTGATCAGTTAAGGAGCAGATGAATGGCTCTAGGAAGAGAGAACATTAGGTAAAGGTTTAAAATGCTAACTTCAACAACGAAACATGGTACAGGCAGATGTTCACTAACTAAACTTGTGCAAGCATTCGAGCCTCTCAAATCCAGTAAAGACGTAGCTTGTGTAGATTTATTCTGTCAACATTTGTGCTTGAGTACTTGCTTTTAAATTATATAACTATCAGAAGTAAAAGTTATTATAGAAAATATGTTAATTTTGATGAATACTTTCTGTTCAGAAGACTCGGCTACAGACATGAACTGTTAACTCTGATGTCTGTAGGCACAAAGTATTCATCAAGATAATATAAGTGCAACTGTTAGTTAATGTCCATCATATTAAGCACAATTCAATATAAATAAAATAAAAAATAACCAACAATAGTTTCAACACAGTATAATATCTGATTAACACTTGAAAACCAAGAACTTTTGTAGTTAAAAATCAGAGAGTACTTTTACTGTAACTCAAGTCATATTTTATACAGAGAATTTTTACTTTTACTTTCAAGTTTAGTGGTTTTGTTATTCACTCCTGGTGAGAAGCTCCTGTAGCTGCAATGTGGTGGGTGGGAGGGGTCTAGAAGTCATGGGAAAAGAGATACTGAAACAGAACCTCAGTAAAATTCATATTTTAAACTTTGGTTGTTTAAAATGGGGATCCACTATGGAAGGAGATATATCCGTCATGGAAACTCCAGAGAAGTGAAAAAGGTAGTTGAGAACAGAATCTGCTGTAGTCGAGTTCAAAGACATCCTCACCCGTCAGAATTGTAATGATTTTAGTGAACATTTAAAAATGAAATTCAAAATGAAAAGCATGGACACAATCTTTATGGGCACCTCCCCACCTTAGAGTATTTTCCAGTTTCAAAGACAGGAGCCCACCATCTCACAACGTCGTCTCCATCCTTAAACGTGGGCAGACTCTGGTCCACATTGTACTGAAGAATGTTAGCTACCAACTCTGAACGAAGCAGGAGGCCGTAGTTCTCTTACTTTCAAATTTTTCATTAAATCACCATAAATCTCAGTGTTTTCATTACACAATTTGAGGTGGCACAGAAAAATGCATAAAAGCAAACTACAGCTTCGTGAATGACGCAGTATGTTTATTTTAAATGATAAACAGAAATATGATCTATGCTACAGATAAGAGAACTTTACCTAACACACTCCGCGCTCTGTTGAGCCCCCCCAACATACCCCCAAACCCCACCCCCCGCCACAGCCCCCCCATTCTTCATTCTTCATGCCCCTGTCTGCAAGTATGTATCTCTGCAGACCGGAGTCCAGCAAGTGGGAGGTGTTTGCGTCATCATAGAGCTTTTTGCACATCCGTTAAGGCTTTTTAGCGTCCTTTTAAAATCGTCTTTATTATTTAATAAACAGTAAAAAAGCGGAATACATTTGACTTTTTTCGCCATGTGGTCATTTTTAACAGTTAAATGATTAATTTTCGTGCATCTTCCCGCTGCACTGATGTGTTATTCTATTTTAATGTACTAAATGTTCCAGAGAGCATATTATGAAATGCTAAAATTCAAAAATAGGCTTCAGTGAAAAATGTCTTGCGATCTTCAGCTGTTAGGATGAAAAACAGTGCTTTAAACTGACTTGATTAAAATGTGTAGTGGTTACACATGACTGAAATGTAAAACACAAGCACAGTAACTGCCAGAACACAATTAAAGAAATCATTTGTGTTCATGTAAGACGAAATTAAGTTTAGATATAGTATAGTATATCTGAATCCATGCTATTTCAATCATAAGTTTGATGTTTTAACTGTTATGTACTTGTACTTTATTATTTCCACCTACCTTGCAGCTGCACTCTGACCTTTTATCAGAAACACCTACCAAACAAGATATCAGGAGTATCTTAACTGAAAAAAATGCTACACTAATATAAATAATCATTATCATATTTGGAAAGAATTTGATATTACTACTTCTAAACATGTGAGAACCTATTTTCTTTCTTTTTTTACCCCTCAAAAAAAAAGGAAGTTCAGTTTAAGGTCCTCTGTGATATTTACCCTTCCAAAGAATTTCTTAGTCTGAGGTTTAATATTGACATTAACAACTGTTAAGTCTGTGTATGCAATATTGAAAACACTGAACATATATTCTACACATGTAATTACTCAAAAGGTTTCTGGAATGAATTACGTATTTGGCTTTCATCCATTACGTATTTGGCTTTCTTGACAGAAAGCTTTAATTTTAACAATGTTAAACATGTTTGTTTTTAAGAGGGGAGTGCAAATGGCATTATTTAGTTAATAACATGTTCATAATTGCAAAACTTTTCATGTACTTCTCTGTATTTAAGGCAGAACTGAGAAGTGTTTCTAGGCACTCTTAACACGGTCTCATTCAGGAATGGCAAAAAGCCGGTAAAGCAGTTTAAGTAACATTATCTACACTCTTAAAAAAAGATTGGTCTTCATGGGTTCTTTGATGAAGAAAATGGTTCTAAATAGCATATATAGAATCCTTTTCAAAAAGGTTCTATGCAGAGCCATCTACAAGACATTCATTATCAATCTGAGGAATGTTTCACAATGCCAAGAACCCTTTAATCATGTAAAGGGTTTGTTGAGTGTTCATGGTTCAATATAGAACCATTCTATTTACTAAAGAACTCATGAAGAGCCATGTTTTTTAAGTGTTTAGTAACATGAGTGATTAAGTATTGAACTGTCCTCTGGTTTGACTAATTATTCGTGTGTACATTTGAATCAAAAAAAAAAGAGAAAAAAAAACAACTACCAGGTGGTTTGCAGATTTACAGTTGCATAATTTAGCTCATCACTTGCTGCACAGTTTATAAGCCTCCCTCTACTCTATTTATTAGAACTGGAACCACCACTGACCAAACATTACTTGGGTTGTTGTCAAACAGCAGCAGAGCAGTGACACTGCCATGGTAGTGTGTGTGGTGCTGGTGTGAGTGTGTCAGACAGCAGTGTTGCTAGAGTTTCAACTTACTGGCCACTTCATCAGACACACCTGCTTTGTTGGTATGTTTTTTAGGTGTATAGCATCCCTATCTGATTCTCATCACCTTTTGTGTTAAAAAGTTCACTGTATATACTTCATATACTTTAGAAGAATTTTCCCCCGGGAGTAATAAAGTGATTTATCTATCTATCTATAGTTCTGTCACAGTTTCACTGTCTGGACTATGTCAACATATCACAATGTATTTCATGGTGCGGTTGAGTCTTTATTATTTTTTGAAAGCTGATGAGATCACACACTTCTGTTTGGCATTCATGGGCTTAAACCAGTGGTTCTCTACCCCAGTCCTGTGATACTCCCAGCCCTGCACATTTTAGTTTCCACTAATCAGTTGGACCAGGTGTGACAGAACAGTCAAAAAGACTCAAATGTGCAGGGCAGTATTCCTGGACCAGAGTTGGAAAACAGTGGCTTCGGAAAAGCCATAGTCAATTCATATATATATATATATATATATATATATATAAAATTGTACAGTATATAATATTTTGCCCAAGTAACAGAAATACCTTCACTACTCAATATTAAGTAAACAGTGATCAATTCCCAATGTAGTATGTGGACTCCACACAAACCTTTGTATTGTGTAGTCGTTAGTCTTACTTGTGTGCAGTTTTACTTGCTACTTACAGTCAACAACCGATATCTTAACTCGCAAGACGAACGCCAAACACACTGAACACCCTGAGGAGCCGTAATCTGCGACGTGCTAACGCAAAGGCACACCCCTTGATGTAACGTCCAGCCCATTTGGAGCTGTACCGCCCATTTGGAGCTGGCTCCGGTCTGCAGAGATACCCTTCTTCCTGTCTGATGCATGACCGCGTCACTGTCTGTCCCATTGGCAACGGTTGGCTGACGTGCTTCGCGCAAAACTTGAAAACGCCATTTTCACTGCGCCATCCTTCGCATACACAAACTCCTTTGGACTGGATTCAACAGTGGGTTCCTGCTACAGCTCCGAGAAGACCCCCAGAGCGACCCCAGTGCAGTAAGAGCGCAGGCAGGTGTGTTTATGTTCTGAGAGAGCGGTCAGTGCAGCGCAGTTAGCCCGCTGCTAATCTGTGGGGCGCTCAGCGCTGCAGGCTGCGGGCTGTTCAGCGGGGTCAGCTCAGGCGGAGATCATGGCGCTTTGGCTGGAGATCTCATTGTCGTGTGGATAACAGTGGCAGCCGCGTTAGCGTTAAATGTTCTGTTCATTCTGTCCAGATATTGTGGAACGAGTGGCTGGACTGTCCGGTTAGCGGCCTCGCCGACTGGCTAACGTTAGCTTCTCTTACTAGCTGCTGTACTTACGGTAACAGAGCAGCGCATCCAAAATACTGAGTTACTGAAGTTAGTTTACTGGAGTTAACGCTGCAGTAACTAAACTAACACACCCAGACAGTCGAAGAGATCTACGAGATCGTGTTTTTGTACGAGTTTAAAATGTGAGTAAAACTTCTCGAGCTAGCGTTACACGCTAATAGCGGTAGGTTAGCTTTAGCTGCGGGTAGCTGACGCTACTACAGTGAGTTCGGTGTCGAAGTGATGATAAAGATAAAACGCTGAGCGACTCCTGAAGAGAAGTTTACACTCTGATGCGCCTAATCGTCTGTTGTCCTCGATCGTATCGTCGCAGACTTTCTCTAAAACGAGGCTAAAGTCGGCTTCCAGTTTCTTATTCTAACTCTCCGTTCCACCTTAACTGCAGCTGCACCATTTAAGGTGGAACTGCAAAGTCTTATAAAAAGCTACGTTAACTCCAGTAACTTAGTATTTTTTTTAATGTAACTTTGTTTTTTGCTGCTGTGTGGAGAGTGTGAGTGTGAGAGTGTGTGTGTGTGTGTGTGAGTGGAGAAAGTCATCTTGATTATATCAGTGAGACTCTGAAAATCAGGGGCTGCTCATTGTTCGCACCACGACTGAGACTCACTACAGTAAAACTACAGCGACTCACCAGGAGGAAAGGAAAAATGTTGCAGTGTCCAGTTTAGATAGAGTCCTGACTTCATACACCACCACACATTTAAGGTACTGTAATTTTAGTGTATTTAATACACACAGACACACATGCAGATCAGTCATGGCTAATAGAGCTGAGCAGTGTGGCAGTATTTTATAGGTATGATTTATTATGTTGAGGGTTCGTCAGAGATCTGCAGAAACGTTAAGCAGGATTTTTCTCATAATTCTCATTCATTTACAGTGTGGGTCACCCCATGTTCAGTCTTCGTAAACGATGCTAGGTCAGGATGAGTCCTACTAGTGTTAGATGAGACCAAACATAGGGTTCATTGTATCCGTGTCAGAAACACCCCATGTTCAGTTTCATGTCACATTAGATGGCTCATCCAGACTTACAGAAACCTTCATTTATGAAATCTGGCTTCAGGAGAGTTTTATTATTCTGACCTAGGTGGTCATGGTTTATGATCAGCCTCTGTCGTGAGTGTTGATTAGAGTTTTGATAGTGTTATATATGTTTTATGTTTTAGTGTTTGAGTATCTCTCTGAAAGATTTTAGAGAGAACAGAAAACCCACTGACTTTACTAAACGTTTATATAATCTTGTGGTTTTGTTTCCCGTTTATCCAGGAATTTTTCCTGGAAATATGTTACACTGCTAAAGGCAAATGAGAGTCACTCTGGATACTCATGTGGGAACGGTTTCACGACCCGTCCTGCTCTATGTGGAGTTTCAGTAACGTGTTGAGTAAAATGTGATGTTTATATTTTTGTTGAGTGTTCTTCCAGAGGGAGGAGTAGAGTTAATCAGTGTGGGAGGAGTTTCCCAGAGACGAGTAGATCAGGTCCAGAGAGCGACTTGATTCTGTTTAAATGAACACTAATGCTGCTGGTTTGAGCTCAGTAGAGAATCTGGGTAGTTGTAGCTCTCTCTCTCTCTCTCTCTCTCTCTCTCTCTTTCTCTCTCTCTCTCTCTCTCTGTCTCTCTCTCCTCTCCTGGTCAGTACTGATGGTGTGTGTGTTACACGTGTAAAATCATACTAGGAGAAAACAATAATAATAGTATTGTTTATATAACGGTATGGAATCTTTGTTTATATTGCACTTTTCATTTTAGTTTAAACATGCAAATATTAGTTACAGAGGAAATGGACCATGTGTTTGTTTTAACACGTCAAAACTCCTAATATTCTCTGGAGTTTTATTTCTGAATTTAGTGCCAAGCTAGTTGTGTTATGCAGTGTGAGGAAACAACTATTCAGACACTGATTATAGTAATTTATTTTAATTTTTATAGTTAATGTTATTTAATGTCAGTACTGATGGTGTGTGTGTTTGTCTGTAGGTCAGTCATGCAGTCCTGCAGTTCTGCTCTGTGTATCCTGATCTTACTGATCTCTACATTCACTACTGGTAAGAACTGCACCATCACTGCTTTGTTGTGATCCTTTTTTAAGATTTTTTTAAGATTTTAAGATTTTGTTTTTTATATTTTTCAGTGTTTGAAGCAGCTGTTCCTCCAGTGAAGGTGAATCTTCATGACTCTGCTACTCTGCCCTGCTATGAGAGATGCTCTGGTTTGGTCAGATGGACTGTGTACCACAACCCTGATGATGTTCTGGCTGAGTGTGATCAGACTTCATGTAGATCAGTGAAGGAGGGATATCAGATGATCCATGATCAGTACCTGAAGGGGAATCTCTCTCTCACCATCACTGAAGCTGATTTCAGTAAGAGAGGCTGGTACACGAGTGACTGTGATGGTAAAGACGTCTGTGATGTTCAGCTACAGATTGAGCGTAAGTGTCCATCTGTTTTCTTCACTGATGGAACAGATTTACATTATTTGACATTACAGATCAGATCTGCACAGAATTAAGGATGTTTCTGATTGTTCTTTTCTTAGCCTTGAACACTACAGTTGAGATAATGGCCGGTGAACCTCTGATCCTGAGGCTGGACATATCAGATGCAGTGGAGGTGATTTATAACAGCACAGGCACACCTGGACCATCCAGTGGTCAGATCTGTACAGTGGATGGACCCTCACTACAGTGTAAACCTGAATACACACAGAGATCATCACTTACATCTGGTCTTGAGCTGAGAGCAGTGACTCCATCTGATAGTGGAGTTTACATTATTATGGACAGCAGGAATAAAGAGGTCATTCACACCTACACAGTGACCGTCCAAGGTATGATTTTAGTGTTTTTCTTTCTCTAAAGTGCTTTTAGTGTTTTAACAGCATTCGCCATGTTTTACCAGGCACTGTTTCTGTACTGATGTGCTTGTGGTGAACTGAACTGAATTAAAGCCAGTACTGTACTGAAAATAATGAAAACGTCAAACTCAACAACTACCAAACATGCTGTGGAGATCTCAGAACTAGGGAGCTGTGATTAGGACCAATCACAGTCAGGGGGAGGTCTCAGAACAAATGAGGTGGTGATTAGGACCAATCACAGTCAGGGGGAGGTCTCAGAACAGACAAGGTGGTGATTAGGACCAATCACAGTCAGGGGGAGGTCTCAGAATAATGGAGGTGGTGATTAGGACCAATCACAGTCAGGGGGAGGTCTCTACAAATCTTCTCTGTGTAAATAAGCTTCATATTAGTTCTGTCAGTCTGATCTTTCATGTAGAACCTGAAGACTTTCCTGAAGAGTGTTGATCACATTTATCTCCTCTGTTTATCTGGTACTTTAGATGTACAGCAGAGCTCGATATGGAAGGACGGCTATCAGAAAGGAAACAGTGATGGGTATCAGAAGGGAAGTGAAGATGGATATCGTAACGGATTGGGAATCGGAGCAGTGGTTTTTGGGATCATAGCTCTGGCTCTTGGTGTAATTCTGGGAATGTTCGGTGGGCCCCGGGTGCGTCCTCTGATGGGCAGATGTGTCCAGAGGTTCAGAAGAGAAGATCCCTCAGACAGAAGAAGAGACGATCCCTCAGGTGGGCGAAAAGCTGAAGACGGGGAAAGTGGTGTTGCTCTGGCCAGAGCTGCCCAGCCAGAGCTCTGAAGAGTAAACAGACTCTATAATTTTCTTTTTCAGAGATTCAGCGTTTTTACCCTTCTGGAAAAACTTGAAGAAAAAGAAGCTTGATGTGATGATCAGCCACAGCGACCGTGTCAGATTTGTCCTACAACAGTCTCAGTAACTCCTAAACCTCATGAGGCAGCAGTACTTTAGTCCTCTAAAACAGCTGTCTGTAGAACGTCTCTTCAGTAGGTTTTAGTTTGGATCAGACTAACACGTTACAGGATTTCGTCAGTAGTGTGTCCGGTACTGTTCGGTGATTTAAAGGTAAGAATCAGGAGAGATTAGGTTGAAAAGATTTAATTTCACTGATACTGATCCTAATTTTAACAAGTTTTTCTGTATTTATTACATTTGGGAATCAAACTGTTGCACAAATTAATGCTGCCCAACAGTCAGGACCAGAGGCTATCCCTTTACCCCCAGGCCTCCAACATAATATTAAAAAGAAATCTTTCAATACTGGCTAAACACTTACACTAACAACTGTTTTAAATCAAAGTCAAAAGATGTTGAAAAGGAAAGTGTCTTCAGCCGCTGAGTTGTTGAAAGAGAAAAGCTTCTTTATTTCATTCAGGGGGCACGCAGGCCTCCGGAGACCGACTGCGCGAATAGTGTTCTGTCTGCCCTTATATACCCTTATCTGAGGTGTCATGATGTCACCTCAGAACTTGATGTTCCATTAGTCCCCATTCAAAACTTCCCCATCACTTGGCCTCCCTCACTTTTCCAAAGCTAGTTTCAGCCGGTTTGTACCAGCTTATGTGGCTCCTGCTGGACCATATATCATAGGGACCTATATGAGTTCACTGAGAGTGCACCTGCAAGTAAGGTCATTTAAGGTCATCTGCTTTTGGAAAGCCCCCAGTCTGGCAGACTATGGCCTAATGCGTCCTATATTGCCTCTTAGTGAGACATTAATATTCCCTTTTAGCCAAAGCTTAACTGTTTGATTTTTGATTACATGTCTAATGTATTTACTGTTTTATTCAAATTTCCCCATCACTGCCTTGCAAAAATGTACAAGATAGATCATATTTCATGAAATATATTCAGGTTTATTTACATGTTTGACTTTTCATTATGTTGTAATTTTCTGCAGTGAGATTTTGAGTTGTTGATTTTTGCACTTGTGTTTACAGATCAGCTGTGTATTCTGTGCAGCTCTTTAACAGAGGCCTTTGTGCTGAACTGTAGCTCCTGTAATGCCAAAGGGCATTTCTGACACGGGCATGTTCACTTTGCTCTAAAAGGACACAGGTGGTCTGCAGTGTGGAAGTCTACCTCAATTAAATCAGAATATTTGTGCCTTTTACAAAATGTTCAAATATTTTTTTGCCTCCAGATACATGCAGTAATAAACAAGCTAAAAAAGAGAGCCAGACACTGATGGCACTAAACCTCAGGGAAAGCTGCTTTATGTACACCTAAACCTATAGGAGGAAACCTGGGTGCAATCTTAGACTCTGAGCTCTGTTTAAAAACAGTCACTAAAGTAGCTTTTTATTATGTGAGAAATACTGTTAAACTTCAGACTTTTCTATCTTTTTTAAGAGAGAGTTTAAAGCTCTGGTGCTGGTTTTTAAAGCCTTAAATGACCTTAAAGCTCCTGAATGTCCGTCTGTGTATGATATCAGATCTGCAGATTCTGACCTGCAAACACCTTCAGTAAAACCCAGACTTGAAGAGATTTGTCAGCTTTTCTTAGACAGTCAAGCTCAGAGCAGCTCTTTAACTCAGCACTTTATTGAAACTCTGCCTCTCTTTGGTGTTTTTTTTCTGATCTGTCATTGTCTTACATGATTTAAATTCTCATTGTTTCTGTCACCGTTAAGCTTTATCATCTGTCTGTAAAGCACTGTGATCTGCCAACAACATGAAAGTGCTCTATAAACAAAAGATAGTATTATATTGTTATTTTCAGTTATACTGAAAAGAGTTTTATATACTGAGTCTATTATTGTATTACTGAGTGTGATTCTTACAGTGATTAGTATTATAGATAAGACAGGATGAACACTGTAGCACTGTAACTGAATGTAATGGCATGAAGCCATGATCACAGTATGATTAAGTGTAAACAGCAGCTCAGTGATTCATTCCTGAATTCTGTTCCATTTAATGCACATCTGTATGATGTTCTGTTAAATACACATGTTGTTTTTACACTCGTGCCTACTGTCTGTTTGAACTTGGAATGAAATAAACGAGTAGGTGCTCTGACTTCTGCACAGAACTGTTTGAGACTTTTGTTCTTTAATAGGGTTTCCTAACCTGATTAATCGAAAGCCATACAAAGCAAGAAACTCAGTTCATTCATAAAGCCAAGTGATGTTCAGCCTTGAAGAGTTCTGGCTGTTACTGATGCTCAGTTGACGTACCGGAACTGTTCTGGTACAAAAGCGGTTTAAACTCCTGCATTTATATTGATGAGAACAAATGAGCTCATGTGTGTTAAAGTGTTCTGAAGAGTGAATTTACGATTGTGAGAGCAGTGTTTTAAATGCAGGCTCGGTGCGCTCGTCTCACAGTAAAGCTAACTTCTGTACAAATGTTCAAAGCAATGAGGAACAGCAGTACATACACATATTCATTACGGGCCAGCAGCTTCAGGTACTGCTCACATCAGCCATCAGGATGAGGAGAAAATGTGGTTTTGACCATGGCGTGATTGTTGGTGCCAGATGGGCTGGTTTGAGTGTTTCAGTAGCTGCTGATCTCCTGAGATTTTCACACTCAGCACCTCTGTGTTGTAGTCATGTGCTTTTTACCCATGTGCTTGTGTCTTGCTTTGGCTCCTTTGCTCCGCCCTTTTCCTCTGCCTTCCCTATTAGGGTCCTCACCTGTTTGTAGTCCCCGCCTCCTCCCTCTCCCAGGTGTTCCCTATTGTTAGTAGGTATATTAAGTCCTTTGTTTCAGCGTATGGTTGTCTAGTCTACTCTAGACTCTAGAGGTTGTGTTCTTATCTCGTGGTCTGTTTAAACCTTGTAGTTTGTTGTTCTGTGCTCTGTATTTTTGCTGGTTTGCTCACATGTACATCCAGCCTCCTTGTTCATCACACATGACATTAAGGTAATCTGTGCTTTTTCTGTGTAGCCCCCAAACTACAGCATTGTAAAAGCTAGACAGTCACTTGGTAAAACTCCTCTGGCCTCAAATCAAACTAGAAACCGTATTATAAATATACTAAATCAGGCTAAAACAGCACTCAGTCTGTGTTCTGGTAAACACTGTTAGAGCTGTGCAGCCCTACAGACGATCAGAGGAAGGTTTCATCATGTACAGTAGGGGGCCGAGCCCATGGGCTGGTTTTCAAATGATTTGCTGGATTATAATAGTCTAGTGTTTGTACGAGCGTAAATGCCTGAATTACCTCATCTTTTCATGTCAGTTATTAATGTATGAGGTTTCAGAATTTCAGTCAGTATAGTTTGTAAATTAAACTGCATTACATGAAACTCAGGTGTGTCTTATAGATATATGAGAGAGAGACAGGGAGACAGAAGGAGAGAGAGAGAGAGAGAGAGACTGTAAATGATCTCTCAGGCTTGTTCCTACTTGTTATTGGGGGTGTTCTTCTCTGGTGGTCCAGCATCGTAATAGAACATTTTAGAACCAGGACAAACCTCAGGAAGCAGCACTGTGAGTTATCAGTCACATTTTACTGTCCTGATCATTTCAGCTAAAGCTGTTCACTGAAGAAACACCAGGGAATCATGGGATAATACACACTTTATTTCATACAGAGGAGTATAACAGTAATAAGTAGCAGATAAATAAAAGCCATAAAAAGCTCTCATACCTTTAAAAACACTTCACACTCAGCACTTTCACAAAGACAGAATAAAACCCTGCAGAAACAGCAGCACCAGTCCATTCTGGAAACTGGGGTCCAGTTAAAGAGCTGTAATGCTGGATTCCTCCAGTTTGGGAGGGGCCCGCGATGACCAGCCCCCCTAAAGTATTTATTGGGCCCCTCATATTATTATATTATTACTTAAACCCACGACTCACAGAGAGATCCAGGTTCTCAACCAGCTTCCCAACATATTCATCAACACAGACAGAAAGAAATGATGACCATTTATCTTCTTCATATTCAGAATTGAGCTCGTCTCCATGGTGACCACTTTCACAACCTGCAACATCACATATTCACTATTTATATCTCCAAAATGTCAATCATTTGTCTATTATAAACATTTGGGTTGGCATTAGATGTTAGTGGGTGGAGTAGCCTTGAGAGCGTCGGCTCGTTTGGGACATAAAAATAGGTAAACAAGTAAATATCAGTGTCATTTTAATTGATTTAAAGTCATTTCCCTATTATGTGGGTCATTCATTTTGTTTGTACCGAGATCCAATAAATCCCAGTCATTCCGTTGGCTGGTATTCCCTCATGTCAGGGGAACACTCTTTTCCACATCCTCAGTTTGGGTCACGCGTGAGGAGTCTCGTCTTCTGAGTCTCTGGAAACATCTGTCCATCAGATAAAGCCCCCTCGGCACAGCATAGAACCCCAGAATCACACCGAGAACCAGCGCTCCAATCCCAAATCCCAGTGCTCCGATTTTCAATCCCTGCTGATATTCATCCTTCCACATCCAGCTCTGCTGAGCATCTGAAGACAACAGACAAAACAGAAGAGGTGAATGTGATTAGTGCTCTTTAGGAAAGTCTTCAGGTCATGAAAGGTCAGAGTGATGAGAGATGAAGACCATCTGTCCACTCAGCATAACTGTATGATAAGCTAATCAGAGCAATGATGGGTGTGATCAGTGAAAGCTGTGGTACGGTTTAATGTTTACTCTGTTCATGAAAACATGATTATTGTCCTGAGTTTCATTTCCTGTGGATCACTGTTTTAACATAACAAATTTGGAAAAACATTCAGTATAAAGAAGGCTTTCAGTTAGACTGGAGGACGTGTTCACCCTAGAGAAGATAATTCCAGATTAGAGTTGTTTCTCCTCAACAAAGAAACTACTAATGTATCCAGATCAGTTCTTTCCACAAAACAAGTTTTAGCCAAACAGAAAAAAACACAACAGCTAAATGTTTCATAATGCTAACTAGGAAATTCCAGTGGAAACTGCACTCAGATGTTCAACTCTACCCCTAAACTAACACACCTGATCCAGGTAATAAAGGCTTTCAAGGCCATCTGGATGTCCAGATCCAGGGTGGTGGATCTACAGGACCAGGACCTGTTCTAACTGTTTACATTTCATTTTGATGAATCTGAAGTGGACAGAGTTTTGGATTTGATGAAGATCACTGAAGAAGAGCTATTTAAAGGCTTATGTAGTATATGTAATTGTATAAGTGTATATGTAAATATTTTACAGTTTAGGTTTGTCTTTAAGGCACATAAGACCATTTATAGTGCAGTCTGGCCAAATTATGGCCAAAATACTGAACACTGCTTCTTTTCTTTTCTATTTAAATGTGCAAAACAACAACAACAACAACAAGAATATCTCTGATTGCTGTATATGTGAAGAGGCTAATCAGAGAGTCAACTCAGCACAAAGACCCCAAACAGCAAGAACACCAGAAAAGCACTTACGTTTAACAGTGACCGACACTGTCCGTATGAGAGCCGCTCCATCGTTGACCTCTCGCACCGTGTAGACTCCAGAGTCAGCAGACACCACGTCTCTCAGCACCATGGAGTTACCACACACTGACACTCTGTCTTCATACCCCGCATTACAGAGCACGGAGCGTCCATCCACAGCGCACATCTGGACAGGGGTTACAGATCCTCCATCAGTCCGGGAGAACGTTAGAGTCACTGGATGGAACGTGAACAGATCCAAGACGAGGGGATCTCCAGCTGGTACTTCAACAGAAGAGTTGTGAGCTGCAGGAGAGACAAGCAGAGATCTTTGTAATTCCAGTTGTACCAGCACCAAACTACCATAACACTACTGTATCATACACTGTCATACAAGAGTTTAATGCTCTGAAACACTCACGCTTGGGCTGGAGGTTCTGGAAGCAGATCACTTCTCCGCTACATTTGGTGTGATAAAATCCTCTGGTGGTGTAATTAACCTGAGGAACGGTGAGGCTACTCTCCCAGGTTTCCACCCCTGAACAGGGTTCTGAACAGTACAGAGTGACCGGGTCATTCAGATCAGTTAGCCAGTGTCTGCTGACCTGCTGAAGAAGAACAAGTGTTTACAGTTCTAGACAAACTGTGCATCACGGTCAGTGAGTGTAGATACAGTGGAAGTGTTTCTAGCTTAATAGCTTTTAATCTCAGTCTATGTTCCATATATTTACTCTCTAAAGATGAAGATGTGGAAGCAGCTCCAGTGAAGCTGAGTCCAGTCTCAGTAAGTCAGTGAGGCTGTTTAATGAAAGTGTGCAGTGTGAGCAGTGAGGACTCTCACCTGATAGGACTGCAGTCAGGACTGTTAGGACCCAGAAGCTGAAGAGCTGCATGGCTGAGCAGACGGTGGAGACTCAACACAGCCTGCAGGGGGAAAAACAGCAACAAACACTGTTAATGACACAAAACTCACCATCTGAAAACATTACAGAGCATATAAGATACATTTCTATACTCTAACTGGTGTTTTCAGCTCTTCAGATCTCTCAGCTCTCTGTTCCTACATGGACTTCACCTGTCTTTGTGTTTCTACATGATCTGTCAGTGAACTACAGTGGTGAGTAAAGAGGGTCTGTTCAGTCTCGTGCTTTCCTTTTTTTCAGCATTAATATTCATCGTGTACTTACAGTTTGTTCTGTAGCAGTCAGATGGTGGAGGCTGTAGGGGGTTCTAGAGTTCGGCTCCGGCAGGTTCTGATGCTTTTTCTTTCGTTTTATTCCAGAAACGAACGTTGTCAGACGGAGATCCTGTTCTGCAGACAGTGAAGACAAACCGCAGCTGATCCACATGAGAAGTGTCTGCACTGCTGGGGGGAAGGAGCCTTTATGCTGCTCAAACTCGGGAAAGCCGAACAATTCGGAGGGAGGAGCCAAACTCGGGAGTGACGCACTGTTTGGAGGGAGGAGCCAAACTCGGGAGAGCCGCACTGTTTGGAGGGAGGACTCAAACTCTGTAGAGACGCACAACACAATCACAGAATCTGTATAACACACCTGCTTTTCCATTATAATAAACACAGTTACGATAATCTCCAGTTCTATAACTAACGCAGCACATCCATGTATAAATACAGACACACATTTGCCATAAAGTCTCCAGGTGTTACTGTAGTTTATAAAACAGCGCCACTTGCTGGACTAAATACATCATACAGTCATAACAGTCTATAATATTGTTGTTTTCTCATTTCATTTCTACATTGTTTTCACAGACTCAAACACGCTGTACACTCATTAGAAACACCACAAACTCAGAAATAAAATAAATATCTGTCCCTATCAGAAATAACCAAAATACAATCAGGTGTTGTCAACGTGCCTCTTTGAAGAGCTGATCACTTTTAGATGATCAATACTTCTTTCACTGAGATTTTCTTGTCTTCACACTCAGACTCAGCAGACTACTTACTGTATCACATCAACAAAGATGTTGTGAAATCAGACAGTAAATAAATCAGAACTGAAATTACACACTTTCTCATTTTTGTTTCACTGTTGGTCTCGTGGTTTGAGAAGTTACAAATATATTAAACGATGCTCTGGCAACTGACAAGACTGAAACAGAGCAGAACATCATCCCTCTTTTCATCATGTATCGTTTTTTAACTATATAAAAGTTTTACAAAAGCGTCTGCTGAAAAAAAGAGAAATAAACAGTGATTCTAATAATAAAACAGTGAAGCTCTTCACAGCTTTAAATAGTAAATCAGCTTACAGTGGTATAAAAGTTGAAATAATACAGAGCTCATTGCACTGTTTAATCTAATCTAATATGTAATAATCTATTAGCTGTGCTGGTCTGTCTCGCTGTTCATGCAGACACTAAATGTGTACAAATTCAGAAATGTTTTCTAAGGTTGTTAGAAATGTGCTGTACTTTGAGGCTCTGGATCAGAAAGCATTTGAACAGAATTCTTCAACCTACAACGTGGACTACAGACTGCATAGATGCCTCAAACCTTCAGATTCAGCTGGACTTGTGAATCAGTTTGAGTGATTCATTATAAAAAACTTGTTCAAAAGAACCACTTTTATTGTCAAATATGAGAAGGAATATTAAGATATTAAAATAAACACTCTTGATCTGTGAACTGCATTTATTAATATCAGCATTACCTCCTGATCGATAGAGCTTTAGCTCAGGGGTGAAACTGGACTTTATACACTCTAAACCATCATCCCAATGCAGCACTGTGTTTAAAAAACCCGTAATATTCATTCTGGCTTGAAATGCTAAGTAAAGTTCAGTCACTGCCTCTCTAGGTTTTTTTTTTTTGGTTCAAATAGCACCAACTCCACTAACCACGCATAAACAAACTAACTGTACAGTGCCTGTGGTTATGATTTTATATGGTGTGATGAAAGTAAAACAGTCCGACAGTTATCACTCTCCTCTCCACTCCTCTGTCAAATGCAACTACTCTTGCTGACGGCCAAGGCAAGGCACAGTTCCAATAATCAAAACAATAATCAGAAGCAGAAACAGATTTATTAAGGATGTTGATACACAGAAGGAATTTGGTTCCAGCAGTTGGTGACTCTAGTATTATGTACAATAAACAAACACTGTACAAATAATTTACAGACAACACACAATATATACAAGCAATATAGACAGTACATGGACGAGTAATATACAGGCAACGTACATATTTACAGACAATACACAATACATACAAGTAATATACAGACAATGCACAATATACAAACAACATACAGATTACATAAGGACAAGCAATATATATAAGAGTGCGTGGTATTGCAAACAGCAGTGATCTACATCATGTATGGGAATGTAATTGTGGTGTACAATGGAGTCTGAAGCAGGATGCAATGACTATCGAGAGAAAAAAACATGAGTAGCTATGACCCTGCAGATGATATTCCATGGTCAGCTATTTATGAGGGTGATGGCCTGAGGAAAGAAACTGCTCCTGTGTCTGGCCATGTTAGTATACAGGTTTCTGTAGCATCTGCTACAAAATAAAAGGTAACCCACGATATTGCAAGATAAATAACCCTGTTTTTGACCACATCCTGCAGGTTCCTCCAGTGCATCATCAGCAGTATAGAATTTTTAGTCCTTAGCCAGACAATAACCATCATATTGCACTACTCCAACTCTCTTCTTGCTGACTACAGAAGCATCCAGAACACTGCTGCTCTTCTGCTCCACAACCATCTAAAATTCTTCTAAAGTTCTCTACTGAGGTTACTCTACTCAAATATTCACAAAAAGGTATAAAGGAATATATTTGGTCCAGGAATTTTAAAATAAAATGACTTTTCTTAGCTAGGAGAATACTTTATATACAGCATGTGATAAATTTGTCACTGTCATGGACTTCAGACCACAAATAGCACCAAGCACAACACTACATGTCGCTGTTGTTAGAACAAAACCTCCTATCTCCAAAATGGTAACTTTACAGGAGAAGGAAAAAACATACTTTACTTTCAATGTCAATGGAACCAGACTTTCTTCCCCAAGTAATTTTGTTCTGTTTCTTTTGGTTCATTCATTATGAAATTTACACACAATGGAAAGGGCAACAAGTATTTTCAAATTATGTCAAAAACTGAAAAATGACAAAATGGAGATACAAGGTTTTGTCCTAACAGCAGCGATACGTACCATCAGTGTCTAAGCTGGTGGAGGTACTTCTCTTAGGACTGGTCAGTCTGAAACACGAAAACAATCAGCAGACTTTCCACTTAGCTGCACTGTAGAGCTGCCTATTCTGTACGTTCAGCTTCTCTAGATTACACATCTGTTTAGGGTAACAAACCCAGACTTACTGAACTCCTACTTTTTTCGCTAAAGAAGACCAGTTTGTTCTGAGCAACCGTTCAGTGAAAGAGTAAAATAACCCCCAGTAAGACACTATAGACAACTTCTCTAGAAAGATTTTACAGCCTAGGAGTGCTTGAGGTGTAGAATAAAGATTATAAGCAAAAGGAACATCCTGGCAGTGAGAGTAGCTTTAGAAAGTGAGACACTAAAGAGCAAGAATAAGCCTCAGTTCAGAGTGCTGGTTCAGACGTCAATAAGGCTTCCACAATGAAGAGGAACAGACAGTGTTGGAGTTTGATACGTTTAAACAGCCTCTCACACAGGACCCAAGAATAGTAAAGCAAGAGAGAGAGCAAGAGAAGAAAAAGAGAGAGAGACGTCGTGAATGAACTCTCAGACTTGGTCCAGGCCATCAGATGAAAATCTCTGCTGTTCTTCTGGATTGTGGTTGGCCAGTCCATTCATCGGAATTCCGTTCTGGTTGTGGTTATCATCTCCACTTCTTCCTGATCTCATCTGGAGCAGCTGATTTTTTCTCCTAAGCCGCACGCATGCTACTGCTAATACCGCACATGCAATCAGTGCAGCCACCATCACCACCAGCACTGCAATCATCCATGCTGGTACAGCAGCTCCCTGATCTTTATGCGCAGGGGGCTGAGCATCTACAAAGAAAAAATACACACAAAATAAAATACTTATTAATATTCTTTTAGTCCAGTTTTTTTTCCATATTGTCTGGAAGATCTACTATTAAAACTCTGTTAGTCCTGTTCCTGGGACCCCCTGCCCTGTTTCAGCTGTTCCCCCAACCCACCTGATCCATCCTCATCTACTGAGTATCAAGCTCTTAATGAGCTGGATCAGGTGTGTTGGTAGAGGAGATACTTCTGCCAGTGCTGGATTAAGAATCACTGCTCTACTGTACTAATTCAGCCCTACTGTAACACACTGTAAATCACTGTAATCAGTACAGGAGGATCTCTATAGAGTGAACAGTAAAGCTTACCAGATGGAGCACTGCAGCAGCTTTCACTGAGTCTGTGGTTCTGTTTCTGTGCTTCAGAATCACCTGATAAAAACGTAACAATAATATTGCAATGCAAGATCTCACAACAGTATTTCAGCAGTGACTGTATTTAGGATTAATTAATCCTGTAATACAGACAAAAATAAGTGACTCACTATGACTCTTGCTGTGACCATACGCACCACAACCAGTACAAAATAAAACTCCGATTACTGTTTTAAAAATACATTAAATTCATACCTTTGACAGTCACTGAGTAGTTACGAATAATCTCTTTACTTCTGGTGTCCCGGATGGTATAAACTCCACTATCAGACTTCTTCATTCCACTCAGTTTAAGAGCTGCTGAGGCTCTCTGTGTGTATTCGGGTTCACACTGTAGTGAGCTTTTATTCACTGTACAGATCTGACCACTGGATGGTCCAGCTGCATCTGTGCTGGTGTAAATCACCTCCACTGGATCCGATACGTCCAAATCCAGAAAAAGAGATTCACCAGACTCTACTTGAACTGTAGTATTCAAGGCTGAGAAGAAAAACAATCAAGAACTTTGTCATGTGCGAATCTGATATAATGCAGCGATTTAGACGCAGTGGAGTTCTGTCAGTAATAGACAAGCAGATGGACACTTACGCTCAATATCAAGAGCCACACCACAGAGATCTTTACCATCACAGTCACATGTGTACGAGGTCTTCTTACTGAAATCAGCGTCAGTGATGGTGAGAGAGAGATTCCCCTTCAGGTACTGATCATGGATCATCTGATATCCCTCCTTTGATCTACATGAAGTCTGATCACACTCAGCCAGAGTGTCACTGCGTTTATGGAACACAGTCCATCTGACCAAACCAGAACATCTCTCAGAGCAGGACAGAGTAGCAGAGTCATGAAGATTCACCTTCACTTGAGGAACGGCTGATTCAGACACTAAAAGAGGGATTAAGAGAAAATGGATTTTAAAAAAGTGAAGGGATGTAAAACCTCTTCCTTTAACATATTCAAATTATCTCACATTTCAGTTGTCTCTTATGGTAAGCATCTAATTAAGAAATATTTTATTTACGAAGCCAAAGCTTAGAGAAAATCTGATCCATAAACCAAACTGGAGGTAAAACATTTAAGGTTTAATATCCTTAAGAAGGCCAAACAGAACAGCTGCAAACTTACCAGCACTAAACATAAACAGCAGTAAAAGCAGCACGTAGTGACCAGGCCTGCAGGTCAGCATGGTAGAACTGTCAAAAAAAGAGAAAATATCTACTTTTTGGTTATTCTATTACAGAAACAAAAATAAAACAAAGAAAACAGAACCCATAATTGATTCGCTCTATAAATTCCACAGTTATACTTCTTATTTTTCTCTGTAAAGAGAAAATAAAATCAATAAGAGAGAAACAGACAAGGTTTCTTTTACAGGCCTCTGAAGTTGTATGTTGTTCTGTAGTCAGTGAGATGCTGGTATAAGGAACTCTGGGTCTGCACCGTTTTTCTCCACAAGGAAAGTTAATACTGTTCTTGAACTCCGTCAAAGAGGAACTGAATATGAATACTGCTACATGTCCTTATGTATCAGACATGGAACACTCTGCATACCACATGGTGAGAGCAAAATTTGGAAACAGTGCTAATAGTTGGCTGTGCTGCAGACCAGCTCACAGCCTTCCACCTGACAGGCAGCCCATCATAGCAGAGCCACATGACGTCAAGTACAAAAGGCAACACAGAGGGGAAATCTTTAGGGATGCTTTACGTCACTTTAGTAGTGATTTTGGTACAGCCATAACACAAATTATTTAGCAATGAATTATTCAGCTAAAGTGACTTATTACTTTGATTTTATTACTAACTAGATAAAAACATATGAATGTGACTTCACGCGCATTAAAGGTTCTGTTTTCATTCACACAGTTTCACCAGCAGGTGTCGCCAGAGCGCAGCGTTTAGAGCGTTTCCAAACAGTGCATCATTTTTGGAGGTATTTGTTTTTGTTTAGTGTTTTTGAAGGTATTTGTCAATGTGCTGTATAATATCTTGGCTATAACCTGTGCCCTTTTTGAGGAACTGAGTAGAACTGGCGGTCTTTTATCTGGGGCTGGACAGATTACATTTAAACATTTAAAATTTCTATCAAATTACAGTTAGACAAGCTGGGTCAAAACTTTGAGAGAGACTAACCCGTCTGTCAACCGGTTTCCTACATTCTCTGGTTTAAGCTAAAATTACTTAGATTTAGAAACTGGTTTAATAATATTGTTTTGCTTTTCATCAAAAACGTTAAGGTTGAAATTTTTATAAGGTGGTGAAGACATCTGAGTGTACTTCAGGTGACTGCCTTTTCCCAACTGCTCCCCGGGCAAGTGTGCCCTCTGCCTCCTTGTGTGTAGCTTTCACTAGTGTGTGTGGTGTTTCACTGCACGGACGGGTTAAATGCGGAGGTGAAATTTCCCCACTGTGGGTTCATTAAAGGGTAACTGAACAAAGGTACTGCGCTGTAATCGCCGCGCATGCGCTCTGCACAGCGACCATTTCCGGACCTGAGGAGCAGCGCGGATATGAAACTGCAGAAATCTCCCGAAGTGCTTGAGATCGTTCATGTTTTTAACCTTTATTTCACCGCTAACAGCGCACACGGCTGATTACAGACTACAGAGGATCAGAGCTGAAGAAGGCTGGAGTGACGGATCAGAGACTGGACGGAGTTTCTCTCTCTCCACTGATCTCCTTTACCGCCTCACTGATCAGCGTATGGTCGGGATCCGGGTTTGTTTATGGGGGGAAACCACGTCCAGCTAACCTACCACAGTAATAATGTAGAAACACCAGTGTTGGTGCTTTAGCGGTGCAGTGTGGGATTCTGGACCGAGACTGAAGTTGTGATGGGTGTCTAGATCATCTCTACAAAACTGTGGCGGCAGGCCTCGTTCAGTGTCGCCCGCTAAATTTAGCCTTCGGGTTTCGCTCGGAACGTCTCCCGCTAGTTAGCTTTAGCCTTCGGGTTTCGCTCGGAGCGTCTCCGGCTAGTTAGCTTCATCCTTCGGTCTTCGCTCGGAGCGTCTCCCGCTAGTTAGCTTCGGCCTTCGGGTTTCGCTCGGAGCGACTCCCGCTAGTTAGCTTTAGCCTTCGGTCTTTACTCGGAGCGTCTCCCGCTAGTTAGCTTCGGCCTTCGGGTTTCGCTCGGAGCGTCTCCCGCTAGTTAGCTTCGGCCTTCGGGTTTCGCTCGGAGCGTCTCCCGCTAGTTAGCTTCGGCCTTCGGGTTTCGCTCGGAGCGTCTGCCGCTAGTTAGCTTCGGCCTTCGGGTTTCGCTCGGAGCGTCTCCCGCAAGTTAGCCTTAGCCTTTGGCTTTCGCTCGGAGCGTCTCCCGCTGGTTAGCTTTAGCCTTCGGTTTTTGCTCGGAGCGTCTCCCGCTAGTTAGCTTTAGCCTTCGGTTTTTGCTCGGAGCGTCTCCCGCTAGTTAGCTTTAGCCTTCGGGTTTGGCTCGGAGCGTCTGCCGCTAGTTAGCTTTAGCCTTCGGGTTTGGCTCGGAGCGTCTCCCGCTAGTTAGTGTTAGCCTTTGGTTTTTGCTCGGTGTCGTGGTGTCGACTGCAAACAGACCTTGTGTTTCTGTTGTGTTGTGAAATAATTTACTGGATTTGATCTGTTTGTCTGAGTTATGTCGGCTCTCTGTCACGGACTGTTCGGCTAACTGTTCCCTAGTCAAACTACCACTACCGTTAGGAGAAGTAAACGGACTGCTGCTCTGGGTTTTCATGAGAAGCGGGTTTATGAGATTTATGAGGTAAAAAATCATCAGAAAACAGATACACAGTAAGTTATAGGTTACAGCTTAACCCACCTATTTAAAAGGCATGTCATAGTCTGATCAGCGCTCTGTTTGGAACCAACGCGCTTTAGTTGAATACATTTATATAAGTAATCACACGATTCTGTACCAGTATTTTTTAACCTAACTATACCTTTTTTAGCTTTTACTTTTTTCATCAAATTAGATAGACATTAGTAAGTCTCAAAGTAAATGAGATTAGCAGTAGTTTTTGTTGTTCATACTCACAGTTTGTTTTGTTGGAGTAGAAAGTTTTGAGTGGGGGTTTGTATTTCTCTCTGTGAAGTCCAGCAGTAATGTGGTCAGGCTCCTCATGCTCCTGTTCCTCATGCACCTGTTGGTGTTGATGGGCGTGTTTTTGTGGAGGGAGGGAGGAGCGAGGTAGGGAGGTGCTCTGTGAGAAAATGGCTGCAGAAGCGCAGGTAGGATTTACCTGAAATGGCGCTGAAAAGGGTTTAATGAGATAAATGTTGTTTTTTTCATCATCATGTAATGTATTTTGAAGTTTGGCTCATATTTAGAACAAACTTAAGACATTTTTCCTTTATGAATGTGATAAAGCAGAAAGTAGGACAAAAACAGTTTTGAAAAAAACAAACGCTGAGCTGAAGTAGATTTTTTCAGGATATTGGTGTTCTTGCTGGGCTGAAGAGTTCTGTCTGGTTAAGGTTTATGCTCCTCCTTACTCAGCACTATAGATTTAATAAAATGATATTGTTCTTTCAGTTCATGTGTGCACTACGTACACATCTATTAGTTCATTGTACTTTGTGATTAAATGAACAGTGATTTAATTTGAATGGTTAGCGCTCTTGTCTTTCAGGTCTGCGCTACTGATCTGGAAACTGACTGTAAAGCTGTTGGTGGGAACAATTATTTTAGGTATATTTTTCATCTCAAATTAAAATTTTCATTTTTCTATTAGTACTGTTTGAACTATCCCAATTAACCCTTAAAAAGCGTTCCAGTGTACAGGTCACAGAACCTTTTTGGTACTGTTGTAGGTACTGTTTTTGTTTAAAGTGTGAACATGTGGTTTATCAAACCTCTCTGAGTGCGGTTCAGTTCTGACTTTCCCTACTGACCAAATCTCTCTCTAGCAGTTGAGATGACCTTAACACTAAGACCCTGTTTACACCTGGTCACTTCATGTGACTATTATCTTTAGATTTATAGATCGTATCAATCTATAGATCGTATTAAGCTATAGATTGTATCCTGATAAGAATTACATTTTCTATTATTATCTATTTATATATTATAAATTATCTATTTATTATATAAATTTGCTAAATTTCCTTCAGGATCAATAAAGTATCTATCTATCTATCTAAGAATTTAGCCTCATGCATTTAAACTTGGTAGTCAAATGCATTTCCGGTTAGTCGGACTGAAGTCTGATTGGTGTGTGGGACAGAATATGCAAATCCGCTTGTTACGCTGCAGGAATGTTAATTGTTCAATGCAGATGATTATTAAACAGAACAGATCGGGATGTAAAACTCAGCTGGTCTCCAGGAAGACGCTGATATTGTTTCCTAATTATTTGTGTCTTGCTTTTAGGGAAGTAGCACCCGGCCAGCAGATGGCGCTGGGCACAAAGGAAGAGAAACAGGGTCTACATCTCTGTGTATCTGGCTCTGAGGGAGCTTGTACAAAGGGGTTTTTGACCCTCAGTCAGGACTTAGGGTATTTTGTCCCTGTATGATGACCCCAAAACTTATGCAACTATAGGCTCAATGATATTTAAGAGTACATATAAGGTGTTGTCATTGTTTAGATCTTATAAAGATGAGGGTTTTAAAGTTCTGGATTTCAAGGCTGTAAATTACATATTTAGGATTAACTGGATTAAACACTGTTTGGCTGCTACCAATTCATTTTGGTTTAATATACCCAGATTAATATTTGGCTCTATAAGCACAGAAAATAGCCTTTAAACAGAACTTTACCCCTCACTCTTCTACTTTATGGAATGATCAACACATTTTACTTAAGAAGAAGTCTATATTTTAAAAAGACTGGTATGAGGGTTTGACATTTCTAGCTGATTTGCTGAATGTAAATGGTGAACCGTATCAGTTTGAGGAACTCATGAGTATTTGGGTTGAAACTCGTCACAGAAGGATTATTATACTGTCTGTAAAAGCAGATCATCTAAATTACTTCATCTTATCAAGGCTCAGTGTGGATGTCTTTCATTACCAGCTAAAATCTCAAAGCTCAACATTGAAGGTGTTGATCTTTGAAATTGAAGATGCAGCAACATGCTTATCAGAATGATCAGAGCTCTCCTCCTACTGGAATTCTTAAATGGAAATGGGATTGTCTTTGGCTACTAGTGGATAAACTCTGGCACCATAAAAGAAACCTCTCAGGATACTTCAGAGATTAATTATGCAATGCATATCTTCAGAAATTCCATATTAATGTAACATCACAATGCCCTTTCTGTAACTTAGAACTGGAAAACATTGTACATTTGTATTAGATTTTAAGTGTGTTAAAAGTTGCTTTTAATATTTAAGCACTAAAAAATTCACCTTGTTAACTGTGTTGTACTGAAAGTCTTCTGCAGATGAAATAATAAACAAAGTGTAAAGTGAGTGCAGTGAATGTGGTTGGTGTCCTTCATTGGGGTCAGTTTGGGACAGTATTGAACACTGTTAAAAGGTTAGTAGACTCCTCCTCCTCCAGTGTTTGTTCTGAAATGAAGAGTATTAATAGTGAGTCTGTGCTGCAGTAACAGTCTCTACTCTTCTGGGAAAGCTTTCCACTAGACGAACATTGCTGTGAGGATTTGATTGAGCATTAGTGAGGTCAGGTACTGTATCACTACCTCCACTTCAACACATCCCAAAGGTATTGGAGGGGCTTTATACCTCTCTGGCTCATACTTGGCACTGGGCAAGGTGACCTTAGGCTTGTGTTCTGTTGATCAGAGCTTTTCTAGGGAGATTATACAAACTATATCAGCAGTGGGTAACTTCAACCTTAATTCACTCATTAGAATGACTGTCCACAAAGTCCACGGTACTTGTTTCTTTCCAGAATACACAAGTTTTCTTGAGCAGTTCAAAATGCTGCACTATATATGGATAGCTTATTACAGAATAGTAATACAGTAATAAGATGACTGCAGGATAAACAACGCTGTTGAAACGTGAGGCCACACAAAAATGACACATAACAGTTTGTGTTATCAGACTCTCATCAGACACACCTGAGTCTCATTAACACGGACATTTTTCAAGCATTCACACTGTCGTTTTATTTGAAAAACATAACCTGTATGCATAAATACAAACATTTCATTTTCCATAACAAAAATACACATTCAACGTATACAACTTGGTCCTGTTATGGACTCTCAGTCGACATTTATGTGCACTGAAATCTCCTGATTTCTTCAGCATTTGGGTCACACTGTATGTACATTAAGGCACATAATAAACATGCTTTTAATAATTCTGAACAAATAGGAAAACAAAAACAATATAACAGATAAGATCTGTACAGACTACTGATGAATAACATATAAACACTGGACGTTTATGTAAGTATATTTGTCGGTTTGTCACACTAAAGTAACCGTTCAGAGCTGTTAACAGTGATTTTTAGATGTTTGGTGAAAACTAAGCTGACCAAACACTCAAATCAAATGTAGAATCACAGCACAGTGCAGTCTGTAATCATACAGCTTTAGATTAGAGTGATTCTTATTAATATCCTGAAACACTTCAGTTACAGCAGATCCAGCAGCTCTTCAGACTGAGGGGAACCTTCAGTAGAACAATCACATCACCAGCTTCTTTAACTGAACTATAGAGCCTCACTCTGTGCTTATTAAGTTCTAATACTCAGTGATTTGAGTTAACATGTAATGATTTGCATGGTGGTCTCTGTTGCAGAGTGTGTTACATTGTATGTTTTGTTACTATTGTGCACAGTTTGTGTTAGTCGTCCTCCAGATCAGGGGTTTCAACTAGGTAAAGTCCATTAACAGCAAACTTCCTGTTTACAGATAAAAGTCCAGATTAACAAATTAACATAAGTGAATGGCAACAGTGGCCACTTTCCCACGCTTAATGATTAATGATATTTATGTACAGAAGAAAAACAAATGAAATAAATAAAAAATAAAATGCAGTTTCTGAAACATTCTTAATAATAAGGGCTGTTTTTAATAATAAAGGCTGTTCTTAATAATAAAGCCTGTTCTTGTACTGTGAAGGAATGAACGAGCGCTCTCGTGAATTTTCTATGAGCTTGCAGTTAATTTTATTTGCTGTGCTGGATTTTGTTGGTAGGTTAATTCAGCGATTTCTTTAGCTGTGGTGCTCAAAGTTTCCAATTTTGACTCTCACCACAGACTCAGAGCAGATCAGACATCAGTGTAGAAAAGCACTCTTTTTTCTTTTTTAAAAGTGTGTTGCTAGTGTTGCTTCACTACTCAGAGCAGAAACAGTAAATACAATTAAAAATCTATGAAAATTGTAAATTATTCTCTTTCTAAGCTGGTGTCTCTCTTTACATAGATGTCTGTGGTTGGATGGATTATAACAGTTCTGGGCAGCATGGTGGTGCAGTAGCAGGGTGCAAACTCCTCATACCAACAAGGGCCTGGGTTCAACTCCCCGGCCAAATGACCAGAGTCCTTTCTGTGTGGAGTTTGCATGTTTTCCCCACGTCTGTGTGGGTTTCCTCCGACAGTCCAAAGACATGCAGTCAGGCCAATTGGACATGCTAAGTTGCCCCCTAGGAGTGACTGTATATGTCTGTGTATCTGACCTGTGATGGACTGGTGACCTGTCCAGGGTGTTTTCTGCCTTCTGCCTAATGAGTGCTGGGATAGGCTCCCCCCCATGACCCAGAAGGATAAGTGGCTTTGATAGTGAGTGACTGTAACAGTTGTGCTACAGAGACAGCACTGCTTAATCTACATTTATGTATCTGAAATATGACCATTTATACAGATGTCACAGTTGATGGACCTGTTCTAGCCCTTAATCAGTGGTCACTTTCTGACCACAGAGCCATTCTACATGCACCAGATCAGCATAACATCTCCAGACTTAAAACAGTAGAAACAAACAGCCTCTCTGTGAAAATATCTCTCAGTCCTTTGTGCTGAATTGATTAGAGGATGTTTTTTTCCACAGTAACAGTCCAGTGTGAGAGTGAAACAAGGTAAAATAACTGACATCAGACTCTAAAGAGAAAGAAACAGAGAGAGAAATGGACAGAGATTGGTGAGTGACAAATTCTCAGAGTTCCTGGACATTACTGGGGGGTGACAGTCTCTCATTGTGGTTAGAGTGTCCATTC